GCCGTGCCCGTCCTGCAGAGCGGCCGGGGAGAGGGCAGCCAGGTGCGCTGTGGGCTCAACGCTGGGCACACACGGCGGGTGGCATGCACCGCTGTGCAGAGGGAACGGGATGGGTTTCGGTTCCCGGTACGAGGAAGCACGGAGCAGCCTCTCCTCCCCACCGCTGCCCCGGATCTGACTGCCCAGCGCAGGCCCCGCCTTACCTCGGCCGTGGGGAAGAGGGGCACCGCAAACTGCATCAGGCCCTGGATCTGAATCTGCATGGTGGTGAGCGAGCGCTGGTAGATGGTCAGGGCCTGCATGGCAGAAAACAAGACCTAGTTCTATGGCACTGCCCATGCCACCCGCAGGAGGGCAGGAAGAGCAACCCCCCCTCTACCCCCACGCTGTCAAGGCCCAAAGGCCAAGCTGGGCATTGTAACCCTGGAGAGGAAAATCCACCCAGTGCCAGCTATGCCCGTTCCGGCCTGGGATCTGCAGAACAAGCCCGGGAAGAGAGCTTGATGCCTCGATTTTTCCACCCCAAGGTGCCTACGTGGACTTGTCTTGTGGCTGCGGTTGGCGCTGGCAATGCCTGGAGCACTGGGATACAAGGGATCGGGAGCCGCATTCCTGCCCCAACTCCCAGAGGAGACACTGGGCTCCTCACCAACCCCTTCTCCACGCTGGCCCCCATCCTAGGCAGAGTCAGCCCCTGTCCTCCCACCCCCCGCAGGCACGGCAAGGGGGAACACCCAGGCACGGGCCGGTTTCCTTTCCAGCGCCGGCCTCTGGGGAGAGGGGCTGCAGGAGGGGCTGGGGGCTCCGTACCTGCTGGAAGGGGTTGCTCAGGTTCTGGCTGCAGTACAGGTAGTAGTGAACCACTTCTGCAAGGCAAGCACAAGGGGAGACGTCGGAAACCAGGGGGACGTGCGGCCCGCCCCTCGTGGGCGCCTCTCAGCCAAGCCAGAGAGATCCCTCCAGCCCTCCCAACAACCCACCCCAGCACCAACAGGGTACCAGGCCCCGCGGCACGGGAGCAGGGAAAGCAGCGTCTCTGCACAAGAGAACCATTCGCCTCTCCCGAGCAGCCTGGACGAGACGGGGATGGGCGGCTCTGCTGGTGGCTGTCGGCCATGGACGGCACCGGGCCAAGTCATGCTGCAACGTGCCCGCTGGTTTCAGCTCCACTCCAGGTGGGGACGCGAGCAGCAATGCAGCGTAACTTGCACCAATCTGGCGTAGCTGGAGAGAGCTATCTCTGCTTACACCAGGGCTGAGGTTAGCCCTCAAGGAATCCCCGATGGCTGCAAGTTACACGGCCCTGCCTCTTACCCCACTCGGCCACCCACGGGCGTCCCCGCAGGCGCCAGAGCCGCACCCCGCCAGGCACGCTGGGCCCGTGTCTAAGCGCTACGCACAAGAGAGGCGATTCCGTCACCTGCACTGAGATCGCCCCGAGTTAGGTTCATGATGAATTTGTCCGGGGCGACGCAGAAGTCACTGGTGCCCTGCAACAAGCAGAGAACACAAGCTCACCGCACTGCCCGGCCCCTCGGAAAGCACCCGGGCCAGGGGGCAAAACGACAGCTGGGGGGAGGGGGAGCACGTCGCTAGGAGCCACAGCAGCTCCACCACACACAAAACTGGGCCCATTTGAACAGATGGTGGAGGACCAGTTTTACAGTGTCTGTCCCCTAAGCAGGTCTCCCCATGCCTCCCACAACGGACACCAGCCCGATTCCTCTGGCCTCTCCGAACCCTATTTACACCCGTGCTCCGGCACCACCTCGTGCAGCCCCTCCCGCACGGTGCCGCCAGCTTGTGCGCACAGGGCCCCGTGCCCAGCGTGAGGGGGGAGCGCCCCTTTCGGCCACCACCACCCTCGGGATCTTGCATTTAGTCCCAGGCGCTGCAGGATTAGACCCCCCCCAGAGCAGAGCAGGGGCCGGTTCCTGAGGGGGGAGAAACCGACGCAATAGACGCCGCGCCCCTGCACCGCCGTGGGTCATCGCCGCGCCTGCTCGAAGCACGGGAGAGAGACGGGGATTTGGCAGCTGCATGCCAGTGAGGGCCCAGCTTCCCCAGGGAGTGGGCAGCAGCTGCGTGGTGTCCTAATGGGATCCAGGCCTTGAGCTACTCCTGCTAACACCCGCTTTGCGGCACACACTGCGAGGCCAGCCGCTCTGGTCCTTCTCACTCACCACAGCCGCAGACGTGTCCACAGCCAGGGAGGCCCAGCTGAGGATGAGCGTCACCAGCCCGCAGCACAACATCCTACGGGAGAAAGGGAGACAACTCAGTTACGGGGACCCGAGATCTCCCAGTGCCCAAGCCAGGGCAGGGGGCGTGGTCTCGACTGGACAGAACACGGGCTGGCCCTCTGCCACTGACTCACCAATGACCTTGGGAGAGTCACTGCTCCGAGTCCCCATCACGCCACGCTGCACCGGGGCCTTGCACGCTTACGTGAGCAACTAAGGAGTGGTGCAAAGTGGCACCAAGTGGCTCCAAGGGGAGCCCTGTGCAGCCAGATGGTCCAATGTGGGGACAGGAAACCCACCATTTGCCATTGAGAGAAGGCATGTGGCCCGTAAGGGTTCAGAGGTCAGGAACTTTGACCCTCTTCCCTCCTGCTGCTGGCACACCCCACCTAACCCTTGCAATTCCAGGCTACGATGCACAATGGCTGCCGGGCCCTTCGCTCCTCGTAACTCCTAGCACCCAGCAAGCTGCCCACCCCTGCTGGCCAGGGCAACCCCGGGGTCTCATGTGCCAGGACTGGGCCAGTGGCAACAGCTGCTCTCCTCAGGGCTGGGCTGGCGATGGCCATGCAGGGAGAGCGCCCATGCTATGGGATTGAGGGCAATGCCTAGCCGCCCGCCTGGCCTCTTCCCCATCTCCTGGCCAGCCAGCAAGTGACCCCAAGGACCAGCCTCCCTCAACACCAGCCTGTTCAACAGCTGAATTATTAACAAGCGCTGCAGTCGGGCTCTGGCTTTATCCTGTTTGCAGCTCGAGCTGCTGCGCTGCAAGGATCCATCCTGCCTGCTCTCCTGTCCCAGCCGGGCTCTGAGCCGGACGCTCTGGTAGGGGGCGTCTGCCACGGGCGGGCTGGGAATTGCAGCACTGTAACGAGCCACCCTGGCCCAGTCTGGGAAGGGGTGCGTGTGACTCTTATCGAGCACTGACTATAACGGCGCTGTCCTGCTGCTCGCGGGGGGGAGCTGACCCTTGGGCAGAGCAGGGCTCTCAGTGCTGCAGGAACATCCATCTTGCAAGTGCGTCCAACCCAAGGGAGGCAGGCACAGGGCCAGTTCGAGGCCTGGGGAAGGGCAGGTGCCCATCTCCCCTCCCAAAGCTAGCAGCAGCCTCGGCGCAGCGCAGGAGGGCGGGGCCGGACGGGCAGTGCCCACCCCCCGCCAGACAGTGGGGCAGAGGTGGCTACTCACGTGGTGAGGAGGCACCTGGAGCGCTTGGCCAGCCCCAAGCAGGCGATGAGGCAGATGATCAGGTCCAGGATGAAGAGCAGGAGGTAGGAGAGCCACCTGGGCCCGGGGGAGGAAGGGGAAAGGCTGTCAGAGTCCCTGGAGGGCCATCTCCCCCAGAGCCAGCCGCACTCCCCCGGAGAGGCCAGCACGTGAGCTGCAGCCGCAGGG